CTCTCCTGGTTCTCACACCTTCTATTGTCCTTCGGAATTTTTTGTTGAGTCAGTCAGTCAGTCAGTCAGCTACAACGTAGGACCAGGCACATGTATGCATCGGCCCAGGTTGCCATACCTCATTAGCACAGCAAGATGAACACTGGATTCATAGGAGTGGTTAGGTCAAAGGTGGTAATATATAGGAGAAAGATTGCAATAAGGATATAGTATAGGAAGAAAGAATTAGTTCGTAGAAAGAAAGATGTGAAGTGATCTTAATCTCTTAGTTTAAGGGAAGACAGAGAGTGTATACACCGACGCCATTGTGATCGATTCTGAGCCATGTCACCAAGGGTCTCCAACCATTGGTTACGAAAGTCACGCGGACCCCAACCAAGTAGTCTGCATCTACCAACATGGCTCAGACTAGAAGTTAGTGACTTCAGGCACTGATGCCACGTTTTGGTTTGGCCGCCCCTAACTTTCTTCCAACCATCCCCTACACCGGTTAGCATTGCACGTCGCGGTAATCGGTGTTCAGGCATACGTAATACGTGGCCCAACCATCTCAGTCGATGAAGATTCATAACCTCATCAACTGATTTACCATCATTCCCTAATACCCTGCGTCTAACCTCACTATTACTTACCCGGTGATCCCAGCAGATGCCAGCAATATTTCTAAGGCATCTGTGGTCAAATACTAGTAGCTTACGGGTGTCTTCTACTCTTAAGGGCCATGTTTCGCTGCCGTAAATTAAAACAGAACGGACAGCCGCGCAGTATACTCGTCCTTTTATTGATAGACGGATATCTCGCCTCCGCCAAAGGTGACGTAAGTTGGCAAAAGCCAAACGAGCTTTACGAATCCGTGCTGAGATTTCGTCAGACACCAACCCATTAGGGCTGATCAGACTTCCAAGATAAGTGAAGTTGTCAACACGTTCGACTACTTCACTCCCTATCCTTAGTTCAGGTGTTGACGCAGACCAGTCCTGAAGCAACAACTTGCATTTAGAGGGAGAGAAGCGCATCCCAAACATTCTGGCATTGTTGCTTAGTGCTACCAGAAGACTCTGCATTTTGTCAGCGTCTTCACCAAACAGGACTATGTCATCTGCATATTCTAAGTCGATAAGTGGACCTCCTGGAAGGAGATCAATACCCGAGAATTCAGTCGACGAGAGTGTTATTTCCATCAATAGGTCTATGATGAAGTTAAACAAAAATGGAGAAAGTGGGCAGCCTTGACGGACACCACTTGAGGTTGTAAAAGTAGATGACAGTTCGCCATAAGCCCTGACTCGACTAGTAGTGTTCGAGTAAAGAGCCTTCACAAGGTTTATGTACTTCTGAGGTACGCCTTTCAATGACAGACACTGCCACAGAGTCTCGCGGTCTACAGAGTCAAATGCTGCTTTTAAGTCAAGAAAGACCACCATCGTCGGACGCCGATAGGTATGCCTGTGTTCTAGAACCTGACGAATGGTGAATATGTGGTCGATGCAGCCACGACCAGGTCTAAAGCCAGCTTGGTTCTCTCGTGTTTGTAGTTCACGAGTCTTAGTTAGGCGTTTGATAATTATCGAGGCCAGTATTTTAGATACTATGTTTGTTAAACTAATCCCTCTGTGGTTGTCACAGGATGATTTTGACCCTTTCTTATATATTGGGACGATAAGTGATTGCGACCAGTCAGATGGGATAACGTCTAACTCCCAGATTTTAGCCAAAATATTAGTCAACCTAGTCGCTAAAATTGGACCACCATCCTTAAAGACTTCTGGAGCCAGTCCATCTGGACCAGCTGCCCTTCCTCGTTTCAGATTAACTATAGCCTTCTCAACTTCAGCAAGAGTTGGGGGACCTACTTCAATGTTCCATTCACTTTGTCTGGGAATGGAGGGTAGTTGTAGAGTAGCTGAAGGCCAGCTGAACTGTTCTCTAAAATGTTCCGCCCATCGTTCTAAACGTCTGGACTGGGAGCAGATGAGAGTATCATCTTTTTCCGAAATAATCTCACTTACACTTGACTTATTAGTTCCAGTTTCTTTTATTAGTCTGTAAAGCTGTCTTGTGTTCCCTATAGTCGCCGCCTTTTCCATCTCTTTTGCTTTCGTTACCCACCACTGCTCACGGTCGTTCCTTAGACTTTTTCTTAACCTAGATCTGATTTGTTTACGCTCTTCATCATGTTCAGAACCTGATGGGACGAGTTTGCGAGAATCCATCAGTGTGACAGACCTTGAAGAAATCCACTGGTTCCTTGTAACTCTGTGGTTTAAGTCACTAATAGATGTCACTGCTGTTTCCACAGCTGCTTGTATGTCCTTCCAAGCAACATCTGGGTCAGCCTCGTCTTCACAACTACCTAAGTGTGACCTCAGTTGTTCCTGGAACCTACTTTTGGTTTTCTCGTTACTCAACTCAGTTCTAATGGGTCTTTTTAATGTGGCTTTTTTGCGTCCAGTGAGGCGCAAGCAGATGCGTGCCCGTATTAGGGCATGGTCGGAGTCCAAGCAGGTGCTCCAGAATGAACGACAATCTTCTACCGACCCTCTCCAACGATGACTGATGGCAATATGGTCTATTTGAGTCCATCGTTGGTTTGGTGTAGGGGGTCGCCATGTTAGACGATGTCTCTCCTTATGCTTAAAATTTGTGTTTGCTAAAAATAAACGATTGTCTGAGCATAGCTGCAGCAGACGATCACCATTATCTGTTCGCTGTGTCGGAATACTAAAATATCCACCTAAATGCCTTTCTGTTTGGTTTAAACTGCCTATCTGAGCATTAAAATCACCTGCTACGAGTACTATGTCTGAGCGTTTAGCTTTCTGAAGAAGTTCGGATAGCTTTCTGTAAAATTCATCTTTCACTTCATCTGAGCTGCAGTCAGTGGGAGCGTAGGCAGAAACGACAAAAAGGCAACGACGTGTGTCCCTATCCTTCCGAGTTCTTACGTAGCCGTTCAGCCGAACAGCACATAGACGACTGTTGACGGGGATCCACTCTAGCAGTGCTTGTTCGGCCCTTATGCTTAGTGCTATGCCTACACCTGCCAGTCCACGAGAACTTGCCATCGGGTCACCGGACACACGAAGGGTGTATCTCGTTGGCTCTCCGTCTTGCCGAGGTGAGGTCAAGTGAATGACCACACTGGAATCCTGTATGCGTGTTTCGGAGACACAGCATACATCAATGGAAAGAGACTCTAGGGTTTTAGCCAAGGAAGCCTGCTGACCGATTTGACATAGGGTGCGTACGTTGAAGGCTCCAATGTGTAGTTTGGAGCGAGGTTTCAGTAGACCTGGGACAGTGTTTTGCGCACTAGAATCGTTGGCTACGGTGACACTTGAGGTGGAAGCCGAGAGAGGAAATACAGAGTTGAAAGTCGATGTAGGAGGAATAATAGGAATTGAAGAGGAGGTTGATTATGAATACAGTGGACTTGAGTGCTGTTAGAAGTATGAGGGCGGTTATCACTTCCCGGTTGCCCACACCGTGGAAGGGTTGTTCTGGAGGTACCTGAAAAGGAAATTGGATTAAAGGTGGTCTTAGTGAACTGAGAGCGTGACCGCAGTGCCCAAGGGACAACTGCTTGAGGTCGGTCACACACGACCTTGTTATGGGTAATTTTTGTGTTAGCTCCGTACTTATTGAGACCTTACCGCCGGAGACGGATATCCGTGGGATAAGGCGAGGTGTGCATTTTTAGGGTCGACCTTTTCTAACCCCACCCCTCCTTGTGGGAAGGCAGCATCGCTGTCATGCTGGTTGTCTGAAGGAAACACCTTACTGCTGTCACACCTCTGTACAGTCAGCAGTACGACTTCGCCTTCGGACCTTGGGTTTGTTGCTTTTAGTCTTACCGCTCTTCAACCGACCTGTCTGACATGGTAGGACCTTGAGGAACGGTTGTTCCAGCCAGTATAGCTCGGTTGCTTCATCACGATAGGCAAGCCCGACCACCACGTCAAGGTAGCAACAACGGTCGGGAAATTTTTTGTTGATACAAATATGATCTATTTGGTTCTCTGTAGTGTGGTCCGGTGAGATCCATGTAGCCTTGTGTATACGCTTGTGTGGAAATATTGTGCCTCCTATGACCAATTTGTTGAATGCACACAAATTTGCAAATCTTTCTCCATTTTCGTTTCTTTCTCCCACGTCCCATAATTTCTTCATATCCAGTGTTGTCTATTCCGACTTTGACATTTAGATCTCCCATCAGAATAGTTAGGTCCTTCCTTGGGCATTTCTCAATGATTGACTGTAGCCGCTCGTAGAATTGATCTTTAATGTCGTCGTTGCTATCATTGGTGGGTGCATAACATTGGATAATATTCATTAAGATCTCCTCCTTTGTTTTGAATGATGCTTTGATGATTCTGGATCCGTGAGACTCCCATCCTACAAGTGCATTTCGTGCTACTTTGGACAGCATAAGAGCGACTCCCTGAGTGTGTGGAGCATTGTCCTCTTCGTGACCGGAGTATAGCAGCATCTCTCCCGTAGCTAGCCTTTTCTGTCCAGCTTGGGTCCAGTGGGTTTCGCTGATTCCCAGTACTGCTAAGCTGTATCTCCTCATTTCCATTGCTATTTGACTGGTCTTCCCGGTTTCCCACATTGTTCGAACGTTCCATGTACCTATGAAAATTTTTGCTCTGGTTGTTAGAAGGGGCATCGGCCTCGTGGCTTCCGAAGGAGCTCGGCTTTCACCACGAAGCGTCATAATTCTTCTAACTGAAGACCTTCTAACTCCCAGGGCAGAGTTTAAATGGTTTGGATTATTTTTTCTGGTAAGCGTTTTTTTAGCGAGTTAGTTTTCTACGGGATGGGGACGCTAACATCATGCCCAACCCTCCTTCTTTACCCGGGCTTGGGACCGGCAGTAACCCTATTAGAGCTACAGGCGGAGTTAGATAAATTGATAGTTTACTTAATATCAACTACATCATATACTTATTCATTATAAGGCTACATCTATCTTTTCACCCTCAAACTTCTATTTTTAGATTAAATTTCAAAGATGTCATCTGCGCCTATTTGTGATCGTGTTAATACATATGCTAATAAAAGCAGAGTTATACCTGGTTATGAGGGGATACCATACAATTTATGTGTTAACGTTATCGGTTGGGTGGTATGTCGCTCATTTAAATTTTCATCAAAGGCAAATCTAGGTCCTAATGTTCGGATTTACACTATTAAGAAAACTTGCATGGGACTATGGACGTATGGCTACATTTCAACCTAGGAAAAATAGGTTTGTACAAGATGGTTTCCACTTTATACTATTGTTGCAATTAATAAAATGTCCTACTTCTTTATAACAGTGAATTAACGTTTCTAAATGATATCGATTTATAATAAATATTCTTTTTCCAAATATTTGCTACTAATTTGTCGGCGAAATCATCCTAACTTTAATCCGAAAGATAATAAAATATTGACTGGAGAATGTTCTTTACTTAGTGATTGTATTGATAAGTGAACAATCATTATATATATATATATATATATATATATATATATATATATATATATATATATATATAAGTTACAGTTAAATGGCTCGGACCTTTGGATTCCAACTGATCGGGATCATTGTCTTCTTGAAAGTTAGATATCCTAGATTCGATTATTTGTAAGGTTCTACCTATTTTTTTCTGTGACCAATCTCGACCAGTCGGTTGTAGCCAACATAGGTCGCTTAAAAATTGTTTATCCGTTTCCAAGTTTTTAGACACTCCATATTAGCAGCCCTAGTAAGGTAATTAACAGCATAAGGAGTACGATGAAATGACAGTATCTGTTGTTGTGGAAAGTTAAATACAGAAAATAAGGTATCAATGAGACAAATGAGATCAAAGTTTAGAAATGACAGTGGTCAGAATTTAGAGTAAGATTAAGAATAAATACAACTGTCCCACTGTGGCTTATTTTAACCCTCTAGTTTTTGACCATACATTACAATGTTCATTGTAATCTCAACTACTAAGTTCATACTATCCACTCACACATGGGTCAAACTAGTAATCAATAAAAAATTTAAAACTTGAGGAGAATCACTGCCATTCGTTGTTATTTTGTTTTTAATACTTCTCTCACTGATGTCAGTTTGTAGTCAGTCATCAACCTAAAAACGCATAAATTTACGTTAGTCCACATTAATACGATTGGATGAAACTGGCACGACGAATATCAAAGGAATCGGGACAATCTAATAGCAATGATAATGAGAAAGACCAGACATTGAGAATATGGTTTGAGAGGACAATGAAAGTGTATGTATGATGAAATACAGTAACTAGAGATCCACAGTAAGATAAAGAGTAAATCCATTTACTACGACTTGTTTTGACCCATGTCACACGAAGGATCTTACCATCAATTGTGGTTATCGCACGAACCTTAACTAGGTAATGTTTTTTTACTAACATAACAGACTAACAATCAATGATTTCATAGGCTGGTTTTTTTGGTTTAGCCACCTCCAGGTTCTTTCAACTCACTTCCATATTATCTAACATCCCCCATCTAGGTAGGCGGCGATCAGACATGTGGGATACACGTCTTAGCCACTTCAGTTGAAGATTCACAGCCATACCAGTTGATCTGTCATATTTACCTATACCTAACTTCAATATTGCTAACTCGGTCGTTCCACACGACGCGACCAATAGTTCTAAGGTACTAATTACCGAAGGCTTACGTATGCGCATGCTTTCAACTTTCGTAGACTATATTTCACTTAATACATACAGGTAGAAAATCACTTTTAAGTCTAAAAAAATAACTTTCCATTCAGTCTGTCTTATTCATTTTATTCTTCATTTTAGGTGGACTCTATTTTCAGAAATAAACGATGAAAATGTCAGTACTGACAATGCTTCCATTGATAGTGTAGAACAAACTCCATCTACTAATGATCCTGTAAGCTCTTCTGTTCTAATTACTGTCAAACGTTAATTATTAAGTACAAAATTGTTTTTCACACTTTTTTACTACTTAGTTTTCATTTCTTTCTATCTTTCTTTGTAGGGTTATTTTTCATGGATTGTTAGTTATTTCAAGTTAAAGTGAGTTACTTGGCAAATTTTGTGTGCATTTGCAAATATATATATATATATATATATATATATATATATATATATATATATATATATCGATTCGTTCTATGATTTTCTTATATATTCTTCTCTAAATCTGTTAATTAATGATATATCAATTGTCATAAGTTGATTTTCATGTCTATAAATGAGATCACCATTTATTCACAATGCTTCAGGTTCACTCTTTGCCTTTCTTAGATCCTGAGTTCTGAAATCTTTTTCTTTTCCTCTTCTGTTTGCATCTTATTTTTTCTACTATTACTGATGCTATTACGACTTGCACTATTCTTGAATTTGTGTTGTTAATTTAATCTTACTGTGATAATATGGTATGGTAAATTGAACTGATGCATATATGTCTCATATTCTGTATTACACATAACTGACTAACTTACTGTGTCAATTGTTTTGAGTTCCAGTGGTTGAACTTGACAGAAAGCTCCATATCCACATTGCGCAATGAATGACATTCTTCTCAAGGTATACTTGCAATCCCAATGAAATTGGTCTTCCTCATAAAATTAGAAACAGTGTCAGATAGTTTCATAGTGAAAAATGCTGTTACTGAAATCTCTAATCACTACGATTCTTTGCGTCATCTAGCTATTTTTTGTAGTTAAGATAGTAGGATAATCAAAAACTGTTTCTTATGTAATGATGACAATAATTTTGTACAAATAATATTTTTAACCTCCCCAGTGCCATTCAGCATTGCACATTAAGGTAGGTGGTTATTGGGTATACATAACACATTCCAACTGCCTCAGTTGGTGGAGATTCACAGTCTCAACAACCAGTTTATCTTTTCATATTACTTTATCCGTAACCTAAAGAGTGTTTATTCACTCAGTAATTCTACAATGCTCAAGGTATGCTTCGAAGTGACTTATGATCAGAAACTCGCTAACACATAACTTCTGTCTCCATGGACCGTGTTTCACAGCTGTAGATCAACACAAAGTGAACTTCTGTGCAGTATTTTCACCCCTTTATTGATAGATGGGTGTTTTGTCTACATCACGAGTGATGCACGATGAAAAAGCTGGCCGGGTTCCCTGAATTCCTGCAGAGATTTTGTCTGGCACTTCCATCTGGCCAACGCTCTCAACTACGACACTACCTATGCTCATATATATTAGGCTCTGCGTTACTTATGACTAAGTAAAATAATAACTATTATTATTTATTTTGTTATATGTGATTTAGTTCTTATTTATTGGTTGTTTTTTACACCGTTTTTTTCCACAGTATTTTTGAATATATATTTTCTATGCATATATTGTATTTTAAGAATTACTGTTATTTAACGAAAGTGGTTATATGAATGCTTTTCGATTGAATTCATGAATAACGACTATGAGAATGGTTATTCTTGGCTCCTCATTAACAATCTCAAATGTTGTCTAGAAAGTTAGATTATTTGTGATTAGCATTCTACTTGGTTGTCAAACTGAACACAAACACAATGTATAGTACAACAGATTCATTCACTCATCTGATTGATTCATAATTTCATTTTACTTGTTTTGGCGTAGGCGACCAGAACCTGTGATTAATCAGTCATCCTAGAAAAAGTATCTGGCTAAATGCGTACAAAGTTGTGTTGCGTAGGTTAATTAAATGGATTTATGTTTTTTGAAATATATATCCATGTATTCTGATCGTTGATCATTAATAAGTGTGATCAAGGAATTATTTTAAGTTTAACTAAACATTTATCGTCAATAATATATATATATATATATATATATATATATATATATATATATATATATATATATATATATATATATATATATATGCTGTTTAGTATACGAACACTAAATCAGCGTAGTGTTATTTTACTCAACAATCTAATCCTATTAATTTTATGTTGTTTTTTACTCAAAATGATGTATTCGCTGTGCTAAAATGATTATATTATTAAGTAAATATGAATAGATTGCTTCATGGTAATTCTCATTGTTATAACGTGAAAATGATGCTGCGGATTAAGGGTAGGGAATTATTGATCGGACCAAAGACGCACAAACACGTAGAACGACCTAGGGTTCTGATTGGTCTCGCTCCCCTATCTAACCCAGCCAGTTGAGTCCAGAACACAAGTGACAGCTTCGGAGATATGAATCATTGTATTTCAAACATACTTTGTTTATATACCAGTCAAGCAGACCACATCGTACGATAAAATAGGAAATAACATTGTACAATAATGGCCAGTAGGAAAATGACACGTTAAACAAATATTGACCAATAAGATGATACCATTTCATGTCCAAGGATAACATTAGGCTTAACAGGATAATTCTTGGGATATTTTCCTGAATATCCCAACACCTCCCTTTTTTGGAGATCCGGAGTTGATGTCCGGATTTTAAACTCATCATGAACTGTAGTCATCAACACTAGAATCGTTTAAAACCAAATGGAACTAGATCTTTCAGTAGTGTACATCGATCAGTCTGCACGAAAATGACCTATCACCTTGATGTATCACGGTAGGAACGAAGCCATTGAGATAATGTATGAGAGCAAATGACGTAAGAGGTATGAAGGTGGTTGTTACTTCCTGGTCGCCTGCACCACGGGACGATACTTCTTGAGTTACCTGAAACGGAAACCGGTTTACGGGTGATCCTGACTATCCGGAGGTATAACTTTATTCCTCAAGGGAATACTGCTTCAGGCCGGTCTAAAATTCCAAATCCATTTGACTAGCAATGCGTATCACACAATCATTCAGCTAATCACAATTTGTGTTAAAAAAGTATTTTCAATTTATCAAAATCTTCCTATAAATATCTATTTGACATGCAGGATGCTAGTCACAGACAAAACAAAGTATAATATTAGTCGATAAAGTCATTGTTTATTAGTCTCAACTGTTCTGATAGATGTAAACTTTCTGGTTGTGTAGTGACTGCAGTCTATGTTTGGTGTATTTTTATCGACGTAGTTCAAGTTCGATCACACTGAGATCTGTTTATTTATTCTTTATCTTATAAATTTTTCTACTTACTGGGACACTATACTTTTCTTCCTTTGGTCGTATTTCTTACTCTTGCACTGTATCTTTTTATGTTCATCTCACTTATTGTAGTCAGTGTTATAATTTTATTCCTCTAACTTCAGATCTCGAGCTAGTTTAATGTGTAGTAACTTCCACCAACACACATTTATGCTAGATTGCTTACATAGTCTTTGTTGGACAAACTGAGAGTATGTTGAATACATCTTGCTTTTATATGAGAGGAATAATAGGATGATAGGATGATCACATTTTTTGTATTCATACAATACCCGATTGCATGCATTTTGAACATAATTTCTCTGAGATAGACGTTTCAACATCAGTTCAAATAAAGGTTGTTGGGGATGTTATATGCCCATAACTCACTTGGTAAATGCCTTAATTTTGTAATTTTATTTTGGAAATTTAAATTTCCTTGTTTTCGCGCCAAAAGCGCTCTTTTATCTTCATGTCGTATTTTCCAATTGGGAGAATCGTTAATGCTATTGGTCTGTTGTGTATTTTAGTACGCTATTTTGTAACGCTTTCCAAGGACAGTTTTATGCTGTATATATACGTTTTATTTGTGTCTGTAGTTATTGCTCGCTCGTGTTTCTGGCTTTTTGCGGAATATACTTCCTCGTTCGGACTTCGACTTCCCTCTCTAGTTAGCGGGGCTGGGACGCAATAGAATAGCTAGTTTATTGGTCTTTGGTCACAAGTCTTTTTTCCGTTCGTAATCGCTTCAAACTTAGCAAAGGTATTACAAATTTCCTTTGAGTATATAACGCTCATGTTATGGTACTCATAAAAATTAGATCCCATCATCAGAGATAATATCACTACTATAGATTTGATCGATAATACACATATATAATTGATCATTAAACTTCTGTTATAGTCAAGACATTAGTGTAGTGAAGTGTAAACAGATGTACACTTTACATTCCCCTCAAAATGCATGTAAAGTAATGGAATACATATATATTTAGATCAACAAATATTATGCTGATGATAAATCGTTATTGATTTTCCGACATTTCTGTTTACTTAATCATATACTTATTCTTATGATAGTACAATATTATCTGATTTTATGGATCTATTACATATAGCACAAATAGTGAATATGCTCTTTTTAAATTGATTGTTAAAAATGACATCTCGTTTTATACTGTTAGCTATAACATACACTACTGATTAACACATGATATGTTTTTTTTTTAATACTTGGAATGGGCTCCTTTCTACCCTTCATCTAATTAGTTACTTACTCTCGAATTTGTTATATTCTTTTTCAAATATAAAAAATTTCCATTGTGAAAATTAGAACAATATATAAATAAGCAAATAATATTGTTTCCAATTAGATCTTTATCTTAGATCTTAATAAATATTTGTATGCATATATGAACTTATTAAACCAATGAAGGTAGTTTGTAAGTTAATAATAGTAATGAAATAGATGACATTACTAAACACAGTTAGTGAAAAAGTTTGAACTTCCTTCGTTGAAACATTGATTCAAAATTTTGTCATTCTTATTATCATTAATGATAATAATACTCACTGCCTTCTTGTGGCAAAGATGTTTTTCTACGAAATTGAGAAGACAAAAACCGAATGTCCGGCTCTTTAACCGGTTTGGTGGACATGGAGAGTCTATCTAGGGGAGTTGGAAAACACTGATTCCAAAACAATGGTGAACATGGGCTCCAGTACCCTGAGGGAACAAATGGCGTATGAACCAATTATTGGTCACCGGCTACCATGGAACTGCATCTCCTTGCGATGCTCCAATGCCTTGTGGATCAGACCTTCAGGTCGAAGGCTCCGGGTGTGGCCCCCTAAGAAAACCACCTGCCTCGGTTTGGGCACCCGGACAGTATCACATCCCTCACACATATCAAATGAGATCTGTGTGGTGCATATGTATTTGGTGCCTCCGTGTACTAATATCTATGTGTTAAAATGAAATAAATAAAAAAAAATAAATATCATTATTACGTGTTTAATCTTACTATCAACTTATATTTTTTAGTTAATATGTTTAGTTATGTAACCGATTTCATTAATACTATTGATTAATTAACTGTGTAGGCAAGATATTGTCTGTTTACTAAAAGACGAGTTCACTGTGTAACAATTTGCTCTGTTTTACTTTCTGAGTGTTAAACAGCCATTGAGAATAGGCAATATCCAAAGATCATCAGTATTCGACATATGCGTCTTCGAAGTATTGTTTGTATATTTTTGAGACCACAGAGGGAGTGATGCCGAGGTTTGCCATAGGGTACTAGTTACATATGACAGATCAGCTGATGAGGTAGTAAACTTTCGTATATCTAACTACTGCTTACCTCGACGGGTGATACTGTCTAGTGTAGAAGTAATTTGGGGAAACGAGGATTCACTCAAACTAAGATGTAGCACATGTGCATAAATTCACTGATAATTAGTCTGAGCCGTGTAGGTAGATGTAGACTATCTGATTGGGGTCAGGGTGATTATCGTAACTAATGGCTAGAGACTTTAGATGACATAGTTTAGAATCGTTCTCAATGGTATAGGTGTATTCACTCCATATCTTTTCATAGATCATGGGTCTCAAAATCTCATACTTTATTTTCTTTCTACGTGTGAATTTCTCTATTAACATCGATATTGTTATCACTTCTGCTACTCCTGAATTTGTCTTAATAGTTTTATCTCACTGTGCTAATGTCGAACGGCAACGTAAGTCAATGCGCATATGAGCCTTCTACGTATGGCTGACTGACCGAAAAATCCTTGATTGGTTTAAGATATATTTAATCCATGCATATAAACATCATTGTACATTACAGTAAAGCCTGGTAAGTATCCAACGAGAAACAATATTTTCCGAATATATATAATCTGCACCTACCATCATGACTCTAATCATCAGTCGATAACTTGGCTGAACTCATGTCATGGTTTAAATGCCTCTCGGTTTCTTCCAGTTTATTCCTACACAATCTAAACTCGTTCATCGAGATAGATGGTGGTTGAATATACATAATACAAACTCATTTGTTGAGGATTCGATAGAGTAAACACCTTTCAAATGTGAAATCAATTTCAGTATCCTTAATTTTTTGATGAAAATAATAAATCCGTACACATTCCTTGCGTAAAATAGCGTTAAGCTAAGGAATTTTCAGAAATCATTCAACCTAAAGTGAGTCTCTGTCACCTTCGATGTTCTTCCTTATATGGACACTATACTTTCAGCTTATACAAATTCTTCATAAAACTGTTTAGCTGAGTCGTAATTCCAGAATTCTTTTATTGTTTTGTTCTTTTTCTGTATTAATCTTCTACAGATCGGCAGATTTACAGTTAAAAGCAGGAAATGATGCTGTTCAATATCTTAGATTTCATTTCTATTTAATTATTTATACAGCAATCACTACAGTTTTCTGTTTGGTTGTTATACTTCCAGTAAATATACATGGTACACTAAAATGTAAGCACTCAAAATTTTATTTGATATTTTAATATATACATCTATGCGTTTTTTGATCTACTTTATTCATCCTTGTGATAATTTTATAAGCGAAGTGGGCTTCTGTGAATTACTACTACAGTAGTGCATGAACATACATTTGGGGAAGACCAATTTATTACTTAATGCAAAATTACAGTATCATCATAAAATATAAAAACCATACATTGAATATTCTATTTACACATCTTCCATCAATTGTCTTGTACAATCTTTATCATTCTTTCAGTCTTGTTGTTTTTACAATTGCTCTTTGTTTACATTCTTGTCCTCTGCAGTTCGACCTATTCAATCTTCTGTTGTCATGCGTTTCACTTCTGATTGGTGTCACATACTACTTATATCTGTCAATATAAATAGCATACACCACACTACTACTATTTGGTTTACTTGTTATACTCTTTTGAGCGTGTCTTCAGTACATAATGACTGAAAAAGCATGAAATCAATGGTGGAATCGTAATTATTGTGAAAATTAATGCTGAATGATAGTTAACAGAGATGGTATTCATCAGGAAAAAAAGATCAGTTAAAATACTGAACCTGTCAGCAGTACGCCTCCAAGTAGTTTTTTTATAGTAATTCACCTTTTCTGGTAGTTTCATCAGCCTGTTGATTTCTCAACTAACTCACTCTCTTCATGGACATAGAAAAATCGACTTACCTTTATCAACCTTAGTCAACTGTGGTTCAGAAAAGTATTCGTGATCCTCATGTAAAACGGAGGGGGTATGAGATATAGAATTTGGCTATTTATTAATTTATTACTGTGAAACGCAGCCTTCATATGCACAGAACATGGGTAGTTTGCTTTACTGAGAGATATTGCAAAGTTATTGGCCTATGTGAGACAGATGTATTCATTCATTCTTTATCTTTAATATTACTTCATGCTTTCATCTACTGATTGTAATTTTCATTTTCTGATTATATTTTTTTCTATATTTAATTTTTTTTTGTGATTGTCTTCAGTTTGTCCTTTCGTTCGTTACGGTGATTTGAGGTATTGAATAGTGACACGCTATCTACCTCTGTTTTTGTCTTTATTATATGTTTGTACTGGTGTGTGATATGTATTCATAAGTGACTGTTTTTTGTGGGTGGTCAGTCCAGTTTCATGATTCTGGAGAATTAAACAATCTTCTGTTCTATCAAGCTTATTCTGCACAGGTTCACTGTTCTATTATTTTTTCTACGGCTAAGTATATCACTATACTATTTCTGATAGTATTATTAACGATAAAAATAGTAATACTATTTCTGATAACTGTTGTGATAGGCGGTGTACGAATTCTGATACTGATATACTGCGTGCTATGTGCTAACCCCAACTGATATATATATATATATATATATATATATATATATACACCTCTTGGGAAATCAATCCATTTCCTAACCAATGATATGCACTTGACCTTCAGGGCACTTCTGATGTCATTATTATTATCGTTATCATATGTATAAGTGCGTTATTCAGTGGGTGTTTGGTGTTGAAAATGTATAAGTGTATATATGTATCATAATCCGTAATTTCCTCGATTTCATTTCTTGTGAATTTCACGTAGAAAAAACACTAAGCAATAAAATATTCGTTTTAATATTGAGATAATAGTTGTTTATTTTGGGAGGGGGGATCGATTGGAAGAGCAAACTAAGTACATTAAAAATGTGTATATTATTAGCATTTCTGTTAATAATTGACTGTGTTCATCCTGAATTAACAATCGTGGAGTAATTGGTGAATTCATATTAGTATTTTTTGATTATTCAGTTGTTGGGACATTAAAGTTCATTTGTATTATGTCTAGCGTTTCATCTTTGTTTATATACCCAGGCGTGTTACTGTTATGTACATATCTACTCTGTTGAGTCCACGGTCTTACTGTTTATATTTGATTATTCAAGAACCACTCGAATTCCTATGACACAGAGTAAGGACATAAAAGACTGCTACAATAAAGATTGTCTCTTCAAAGACACGTCCCCAAACAAATCGCAAAGTTACATCATCCTTGGACCAAAATATACTCATTTATATGACTAATTCTTACACAAAACAATATCACATATAAGGGAAATTACATATAATTACTCCGAAATACTGAATTAATATAGGGAATATAATTGTCACATTGAACGAAAGTTCACACTTTTCAAATTGAACGAAGTCTATATTAAATTGTTACCAAAAATAATGACCTAAATAATGCCAATTTATGACACAGATGACCTGATTTTAGTTGGTTGAAGGTGTTCATCAGGAAATTCTGTTCTACTTTGGTGTCGTATTACTTGACACTTGTCGGAAAAGAGTATCTGGAATCTTAAGGTAACTGATTCTCCCTGTAAGAGTTGAACCCATCTAACTTCACAGTTTGTAACGTTATTTGGGTCATGATCAAATCTCTATCAGCATTGATTTATCTACATTGATTACTGACTAAGTAGGAATCAGTGTTATACTTATTGTAGTCCTTAACACTGAATTGAATCCTATTAATCAGTGTAAAACCTAGTGTTATTTCTTAGTTCTATTACCCTTTCAAATAAGTAGTATGAACGTACGATATAAATAATTTTTGTTATTAATTTCGAAAAACAAAATTTTTAGCTCCTGACTTACAGAAATTCGGTGTTACGACCATATCAAATATATCGTCTAATTCATCTAGTCTATGGGTGCATACAATTTTGGCATTGGATTTTTCCTGTTGGCATTTTTTTTAATGCAACATTTCTCGAGGCAATTTCGTCGAGAGTCGACTCGAACACCGAATTTCGTGAGTTGTCTTGTTGATCTTTATCATTTTTCAGTGACAGATGTTGAAGGGGAGCGTATTTGTTTTCCTATCAATTCATTTCCACTTCATTAAACTAATTACCTTTTGAGTGTTTCTTTTTTTGACATTGGAGCTCATAATCGATGTATTGAAACGAAAGTTAATTAATTTACCTAGTTTTATACAAGGTACATTACAAATTAAGTAAATTAACCCAACTCATTTTCCAGGTGCTTGTACATAAGCTGTACTCTAAGTATGAAGACTAATGATATACTAGCCAGTTGTTCAAACTGAAATAGGTGGAGTGAGCCTCGAACCTAGTTGAAAGTCTAACATAAGATACATAGTTAATACGGTGGTATGTGTATAATCAGATTAGTGTTCGAGATTTACACTTTTTGATTAGCGATCTTTATAATCCTCTGAGTAATCAACCGTAACAGTAAGTATGGGAAAAGTTCTTAGCCGAAGCCTATGTATATTTAGATATTGGAAAGTATTGTTATTTCTTCCGGGAGTTCGCATAAAATTTAACAGTAATTAAATTTTATTGAAATCTGTATCCTGGATCTTTTAAACTATTTATGAGTATTCAGTTGTTCTTCCATAGAATTTACATCTCCCTTCAACAGTACATTAAGTAATTCTATACGATGTTTACTGTAATTGTTATAGGGAGTAGCAATTTATATATATATATATATATATATATATATATATATATATATCTTCTTGATAAATACATTTGAATTCCACATTGCATGCTAAACATTTTCTAAGATTCATAACAAAATTTGGGCTGAAATTATAGTTATATGTTTAACACATCAATTTACAAATATATTTAGATTGTGGATAGCAAGGAAATTTGGGACTCACCTTCCACCCAATTTAAAACTTAGCTATATACGCCTTCATTCATTGTATTGATGTTAGTCCCCAGACTCGAACCCGTACCTATCCATGTGTTACCTACTAGACGAGTGAAACCAGTCAGGCATCCATTTATTCAGCATGTATTTAGCTGAAAAGTTCTAAGTAGGATAAAATGCTTATCTTGGGTTTTGAATATATGAAGAAAACTTTAATGAAATTATAATTTCAAGCTGTCCGTTCAGTTTGCACATATATCAACTAAGACATATAGTATTGATTATAAACTACAGGAAAACAGTAACATTTGCAAACAGCGTTTTATCAATGCAATTGAAACCATGTTTTTTTTTAAATATAATTATCAGTGATATCTTTAGATTCCAGGTGGCACTTCACATAATTTCTTTTAGGTTTTCTTGTCTGTTTACATAATCCATGATTTTCTTTCACTTAAAAAGTTGTCTGTCAAGCGGCTATACGTATTTTTTTTCATTTTAATAGTCAGATAAAACATTGATGATTTCCGGGATATCACGTACGAATTGTTCACGAGCACTCATTTTAAGGCACTTTGCGTAAGTAATAGTCTTTCTGTTATTGTTATATATATTTTGTGGACCGTGTATCTGACTCCGGTTCGATCGTACGATGATGCTATGAACATAATTCTTCCATTCAACTCCATATATTACCTAGGCTAACTCTGTTTGTGTGACAGCTGTATTAAGAAGCCAAATACAAGTTGCGTTGAGTGAATTTATTTCAATCACTCATCTATCTAGATAGACATTCAAAATAAGAAACGGGAAGCGGAGCGGAGAATCACAATGAATATTATCCAATGTTATGCACCCAACAATGATAGCAATGATGACGATAGAGATCAGTTTTACGAATGGCTGCAATAGATCATAACAAAGCGCTCAGTAAAGGACCTGATAATCCTGATGGGAGACTTAAACGCCAAAGTCTTTAACATTAAATTATCTCTATAGCTGATGTTCAGGCTTTCGAATATTTTAGAGTATACATATTACATTGATTCGTAATTTGTCTACGATTTGAAAACAGTGTATGACTAGTTGATAAATCTCTCATCAATAACCTCAGATTATGTGGCGGTGTTTCCTCTCATCACACACTTCTTAGAAATGTACATTTGAAAATAAATGCTTGATGTAAATGTACTAAGACAAGTTGTATGTAAAATGAAATAAAAAAGTTATGAAATTATAACAATCAGTGCCAATCTGTGCTACCGTAGCCACTGTCTGATAGCCAACTCAAAAATAAAAGTCTAGTATACCGTGCATTTATTTTACTTTATCCTATTGGAATGTGTTTTTTCAAGCTGTGATTTTTGATGGCTATATGTGTAGTTCATCAGTTATCTTTGAAGGGTTATTCGCGTTCAATAACGATATTATTTAGGTAATACTGTGGTTCTGCGTTTGTTTAGGGATAGTAGAAATGATGATTCAATAAGCTTATACGTCTTAAATACCATCTTCAATGGATTTGTTACCTTATACAAATGTCCTCTCAAGGACTCCTATATGGAGTGCGTTAGGGTCTTAATTATTATTTATCTAAACTAATAAATGTTCGGCCCCCAAATACCCTGGTATGGCCGAGAGTGGGGTGGGCTCGCCCCTCCTCTCGAAATACTCTCACATGGTCACGCGTATACAGCTTCTGCCAGGGAAATCCTACTCACTGCCTTCTCGTGGCGGGGGTGTTGTTTACGAAAATGAGAGGACGAAAAGCGAATGTCCGGCGCTTTAACCGGATCCCAAACCAAATCAATGGTGTACATGGGCTTCAGTATCCCGCGGGAACAAATGGCGTATGAACCAATCGTTGGTCACCGGCTACCATGGGACTGCATCTCGTTACGATGCTCCACTGCCTTGTGGGCTAGACCTTTAGGTCAAAGGTTCGGGGTGTGGCCCCCCAAGATAACCACCTGCTTCGGTCTGTGCATCCAGGAAGTATCACAGCCCACACACAAATGATGAACTGTCTAAATTTATGGAAACTACTTTTCTTGCTTCGACTAATAATCAAATGATCCAAATTATTATTATTATTATTATTATTATTATTATCGTCATTATTATTATTTACTATGTCATTATTCACCCTCTTTTATTCCTACTCTGTCTATACATATTTTTTCGACTTACACAGGAGCTCGTTTGTGGTGGAAATTCAACTCTATCTAAACGTTCTCGAGTCACTGTCCGGTTGAAAATTGTATGTTACCACCAAATATGAGTACTGAGGCAGTTTTTCTGAAACCACGTGCACCATTCAAACTGGCTGCCTTCAACGTTCGCACACTTATTGAGGTCAGACAACAGAGAGGGCTGGCTATGTCTTTGGAAAGTCTTAATATCGATGTCTGCTGTCTATCCGAGACCCGTATTCAAGACTCTGGCGACGTACTACAAATTCGATCTCCATCTGTCGCTGTAAAAAGCTTGTTTTACGTGCGGTTATCCGGGGACCCTGTGGCATCTTCGTCTGGTCTTGCAGGGGTTGGTGTCGCACTAAGCGCTAGAGCTGAGGCAGGACTAATCGATTGGATCCCCATTAACAGTCGGTTATGTGCTGTTAGATTAGAAAGTTCCATCAAAGTGATAACAGATAACAGGGACCGTCTACTGCAACTTTGCACAGACCACAACCTGTTTCTGGCTAGCACTAACTTTCGGCACAGTCATCGCCGATGTGCCACCTGGCGTCCTCCCTCTGCATCTCAAGCCTGGACTCAGATTGATCACATCGCGATCAGCTACCGCTGGCGTGGTTGTGTACAAGACTCCCTCTCCTTTTGGAGTACCTATCTGGACTCTGACCACGCCTTGGTCTGCGCCAATCTTGCCTTACTTTTCAGTGGACAACGAAGTGACCGCCATCAACGGATTGATATTAGCAAGCTGGTTGCAACTTCTGTTGCAAGTAAGTATCGAACCGAGCTAGCCTCTAGGCTAGCTACCACTCCACCGAAAAGTATAGATGAGCATTGGTTGCAATTGCATGACGCCATGAAAATGGCGGGAACAGTCAGTTGTGGGTTTGCGAAACGTCCCGTTTATAAGCACTGGGTTTCTTCAGGCTCCTTACAACTCATTGAAGCCCGTCGGTCTACTCCGGGTGACCGTGAGTTTGACCACAAACGAAGGATGTTACGTAAGGAAATTGGGCAAAGCTTGCGTAAGGATCGAGAAGCCTGGTGGTCGAAGCGTGCTAATGAGCTGGAAGCAGCAGCTGCATCTGGTAATTACCGGAAGTTCTTCCATCTCATCCGATCATATCTTCACCCTCCGCCAAATGTTAGAACACCGCCATACGTTTCAAAGGCCAACAATCGTAGTGTTTCTTGACATCAGGGCTGCCTTCGATTCGTTGGATAGGTCTGTTCTCTGGGATTGTCTATTGAAGAAGGTTGTACCTGAGAAGTTTATTAACCACCTTTCTCCATTGTTCCATCCGAGCAGTGGGGTTAGACAGGGTTGCCCAATCTCACCATTCCTCTTCAACTTTGCCATCGATGACATTCTAGAAACAGCTCTGATGGATGTAAGTAATGGCGGTGTGGATCTGTTGCCTGGAGAAAGACTTCTCGACCTTGGTTATGGGGATGATATTGTCTTACTGTGCGATAATGCCCAAGGCATGCAATCCGCACTTAATCAGTTGGCAATCAGTGTCCGTTGGTATGGTATGTGCTTTGCACCTTCGAAGTGCAAAGTACTTCTACAAGACTGGCAGGATTCTAATCCTGTACTCACCCTGGATGGTGAGCAGATAGAAGTAGTCGAGAAGTTCGTGTATCTAGGTAGCTGCATAAGTGCTGGTGGTGGCGTGAGTGATGAGATCAATGCACGTATAGTGAAAGCCATAGAGGCTTATGCCAATCTGGGCCATCTTTGGCGCTTCGTGATGTTAGTCTGGCTGTAAAAGGTCGGATCTACAACGCGTCGGTGAGAGCAGTTTTGCTCTATGCTTGTGAAACCTGGCCTCTCCGAGTTGAGGACGTTAGACGACTCTCTGTGTTCGATCATCGTTGTCTCCGAAGGATTGCTGACATCCAGTGGCAACACCATGTTAGTAATGCAGAGGTTCGGCATCGTGTGTTCGGGCACAGGGACGATAATGCAATTGGTGTCACCATCTTGAAACACCGACTTCGGTGGCTTGGACATGTTCTACGAATGTCGTCCCAGAGAATTCCACGTCGTGCATTATTTGCCGACTCTGGGACTGGTTGGAAGAAGCGGAGAGGTGGTCAGTGCATGACATGGTGTCGTGGCATGAAAGAAAGCTGCAAAGGACTTGCTTGTGTTGGTCCTTCACGACTCCCTGGCTGTGGTCCGAGAGATGGTACAACACAGTGGCTAGAGACTTTATCAGATATGGCTCAGAATGTAGGCCAGTGGCGATCCTGCTGTAACTTTCTTTTATTTTCTTCATAAAAAAATGGTCGTATCTTCCTTAACTGAAAGATTTCTTCTGATTATACCCCATTATTACCACTATTATTATTATTACACTACCTTACACCAATCTCTTCCTTATTGTTTTTTTTACCCTCCTTACCTTTTTTTCTTTTTCCTTCTCTTTAAATTCTCATTGTTTTGTGTGGCGCATATATATTTGGCGCACTCTTGTATCAGTATGTATGTGTTCAAATAAATAATAATAATAAATAGTAAATGTTCGAGATAAATATACCGGGCGCCTGAAACATGGTAACGGAAGATTCTCTGCTGTGCTTTCTTCGAATTAAAGACTGGGGATAGAAGGCGTTCTTATCAACAGGTCAGTCAGGATGGAGATTATCTCGGTTTCGATCCAAGGCTTATTTTTCTAGTCAAAGTGAATCATTAGTCAACACTTAGAACTCTTGCCTATAGGCAAAATAGCACGCTTGGCGTAGCAAAATTTTATCTCGGATTCTGAATTGTGGATTTCTGATATTGATTAATCTGAAGTCCTAACTCCAACTTCCTGAATTCGTGCCGTGATTTATTCAAACACCAGCTCATCTGGCTCATAAGACTTCCAAAAATAAATGAAATGATCAATTCATTCAATTACTTAGTCTCTCTCGATAAATCTAGACATTGAAGAAAACTAATTCTGAACCAGTTTTTTTTCCCGTAGACTTCTTTCAGATGCTTTGGTGTTGAAATTACAAGTTTCCAATGAAAATATGATAAAATAATGATCATTTATGTATATTTCTTCATTCCTTTGTTTGAATGAACATGAAATGAAATCATTAAATAGAAAAAAATGTGTCTAGTTTTGTGTTTTCAAAGAATGAAATCATATTCGGAAATACATTATCATTTTATATTTTATCACCGGGCTGTTTTTTATTAAAATGATTTAATTATCTGTTTTTATATCGTTTTCGAAAAATACATTTTAATCACTGAATAAACACTGATGATAAATTTTTAAAACAATATGACTTATTTGTTGCTATCGGATAAGTGCTTTTATATGTTTACATGCAGAACTAAAATGTTGTATCCTGATCGTCTTTTTCCTACCTTAATTTTTTTTTGTATTTTTTCAACAACAACAACAACACAGAGAACTTTATCCTGAATGTCCTGTTGAAGATGTACAAATTTGTTATGATACTCGAAAACTGATAAAACTTGAAAATCAGAAGTACGTTTTTTTTCTCTCTAGGTTGTTTGTTCTTGTTCTCTTCATGTACTTCTTTTCAGCTATGTATATATGTCATTTGCCATTATTATATTAGTTTGAATTGAATAAATCTGTGGAGCAGTGATTCAATGGTTAGGATATCCGATTGTTAGCCACTATATCGCAGTTTCAAACTCCACTTCACCTACTTCGATCTGAACAACCACATAATATCATTACTCGACACACACAAAGTATAACTGAATGTCAGGTATACAACTCCTGTACTTGGTAAATGAGTTGAATAAATTAAATAATATATTGACAATGTAGCTCTATCTTATTATGTTTTTTATCAAACTATGTACAGACTATCATATACATACAGTATTCTTATATTCAAGTCAATTCACTAAATTTATTGCCCGATATATCATTTGTTACCATAGTCGATAGTTCTCACCCGACCGTAGCTGCTACCTTGACGCGGTGGTCGGGCTTGCCTATCGTGATGACCCAATCGAGCTATGTCGGCTGGAACATATGTTCCTGTAGGTTCTGTCATGCCAGGCACGTCGATTGGAGAACGGTGAGACTAAAAGCAGCAACTCAAGGTCTGAGGGCGAAGTCGTACTGCTGATTGTAGAGGGGTGTGACAGCAGTAAGGTGTTTCCCTCGGACAACCAGCATCTGCAGCGATGCTGCCTTCTCACAAGGAAGGAATGGGTTAGAAAAGTTCGACCCTAAAAATGTCACACCTCACCTTACCTCACGGATTACCGTCTCCGGCGTTAAGGCCCTTTGAAGAACGGAGCTAACACGTCAAAAACCTCCCACGGAAAGGCCATGCGCGACCGGCCTCAAGCAGTTGTCCCTTGGGCTCTACGGTCACGCTCCCAGGTCGTCAAGGCCAACATTAATCCGATTTCTTTTTCAGGTTCCTCAAGAAATACCCTTCAACGGTGTGGGCAACCGGGAAGTGATATCAGCTCTCATACCCGTAACAACACACGAGACCAAGTTGGTCACATTCAAATCCTTCCTACACCTCTTAATACCTCTCGTATCTCCCCGAATAACCCTTCTCACATCCTTTTATCACCTAGCACCGCTAGGGCAAACGATTCGAGTACGCGGAATGCTATTCCTGGTCTTCTGAAACCACGCTGTAAACTACACGTAGGAGCTTTTAACGTCCGAACACTGTGCCAAATAGGACAACAGGCTTCCTTAGCTAGGACTTTAGAATCTCGCGCTATCGATGTGTGCTGCGTCTCCGAAACGCGCATACAGGATCCGAGTAGCGTCACTCATTTGACATCAACATGTCAAAATAAAGAACCAACTTGATTCACACTTCGTGTATCTAGAAGCCATGATGCCGCGTCCCGTGGCCTTGCTGGCGTAGGTATAGCATTGAGTCAGTCAGCTACAACGTAGGATCAGGCACATATATGCATCGGTCCAGGTTGCCATACCTCATTAACACAACAAGATGGACACCGGATCCATAAAAGTAGTTAATTCAGAGGTGGTAATATATAAAAGAAAGATTGTGTATAAGGATATAGTACAGGACGAAAGAATTAGTTCGTAGAAAGAAAGATATGAGGCGATTTTAATCTCTTAGTTTAAGGGAAGACAGAGTGTATACACCGACGCCATTGTGATCGATTCTGAGCCATGTCACCAAGAGTCTCCAACCATTGGTTACGATAGTCACGCGGACCCCAACCAAGTAGTCTGCATCTACCAACATGGCTCAGACTAGAAGTTAGTGACTTCAAACACTGATGTCATGTTTTGGTTTGGCCGCCCCTAACTTTCTTCCAACCATCCCGAACATCGGTTAGCATTGCACGTCGTGGTAATCGGTGTCAGGGCATACGTAACACGTGGCTCAAAAAAAAAAAAAAAAAAAAAAAAAAAAAAAAAAAAAAAAAAAAAAAAAAAAAAAAAAAAAACCTGCGTCTAACCTCACTGTTACTTACCCAGTGATCCCAGCAGACGCCAGCAATATTTCTAAGGCATCTGTGGTCAAATACTAGTAGCTTACGAGTGTCTTCTACTCTTAATGGCCATGTTTCGCTGCCGTAAATTAAAACAGAACGGACTGCCGCGCAGTATACTCGTCCTTTTATTGATAGACGGATATCTCGCCTTCGCCAAGGTGACGTAAGTTGGCAAAAGCCAAACGAGCTTTTCGAATCCGTGCTGAGATTTCGTCAGACACCAACCCATTAGGGCTGATCAGACTTCCAAGATAAGTGAAGTTGTCAACGCGTTCGACTACTTCACTCCCTATCCTTAGTTCAGGTGTTGACGCAGACCAGTCCTGAAGCAACAACTTGCATTTAGAGGGAGAGAAGCGCATTCCAAACATTCTGGCATTGTTGCTTAGTGCTACCAGAAGACTCTGCATTTTGTCAGCGTCTTCACCAAACAGGACTATGTCATCTGCGTATTCTAAGTCGATAAGTGGACCTCCTGGAAGGAGATCAATACCCGAGAATTCAGTCGACGAGAATGTTATTTCCATCAATAGGTCTATGATGAAGTTAAACAAAAATGGAGAAAGTGGACAGCCTTGACGGACACCACTTGAGGTTGCAAAAGTAGATGACAGTTCGCCATAAGCTCTGACTCGACTAGTAGTGTTCGAGTAAAGAGCCTTCACAAGGTTTATGTACTTCTGAGGTACGCCTTTCAATGACAGACACTGCCACAGAATCTCGCGGTCTACAGAGTCAAATGCTGCTTTTAAGTCAAGAAAGACCACCATCGTCGGACGCCGATAAGTATGCCTGTGTTCTAGAACCTGACGAATGGTGAATATGTGGTCGATGCAGCCACGACCAGGTCTAAAGCCAGCTTGGTTCTCTCGTGTTTGCAGTTCACGAGTCTTAGTTAGGCGTCTGATAATTATCGAGGCTAGTATTTTAGATATTATATTAGTTAAACTAATCCCTCTGTGGTTGTCACAGGATGATTTTGACCCTTTCTTATATATTGGGACGATAAGTGATTGTGACCAGTCAGATGGGATAACGTCTAACTCCCAGATTTTAGCTAAAATATTAGTCAACCTAATCGCTAAAATTGGACCACCATCCTTAAAGACCTCTGGAGCCAGTCCATCTGGACCAGCTGCCCTTCCTCGTTTCAGATTAACTATAGCCTTTTGAACTTCAGCAAGAGTTGGGGGACCTACTTCAATGTTCCATTCACTTGTCTGGGAATGGAGGGTAGTTGTAGAGTAGCTGAAGGCCAGCTGAACTGTTCTCTAAAATGTTCCGCCCATCGTTCTAAACGTCTGGACTGGGAGCAGATGAGAGTATCGTCTTTTTCCGAAATAATCTCACTTACACTTGACTTATTAATTCCAGTTTCTTTTATTAGTCTGTAAAGCTGTCTTGTGTTCCCTATAGTCGCCGCCTTTTCCATCTCTTTTGCTTTCGTTGCCCACCACTGCTCACGGTCGTTCCTTAGACTTTTTCTTAACCTAGATCTGATTTGTTGTCGCTCTTCATCATGTTCGGAACCTGATGGGACGAGTTTGCGAGAATCCATCAGTGTGATAGACTTGAAGAAATCCACTGGTTCTTTGTAACTCTGTGGTTTAAGTCACTAATAGATGTCACTGCTGTTTCCACAGCTGCTTGTATGTCTTTCCAAGCAACATCTGGGTCAGCCTCGTCTTCACAACTACCTAAGTGTGACCTCAGTTGTTCCTGGAACCTACTTTTGGTTTTCTCGTTACTCAACTCAGTTCTAATGGGTCTTTTTAATGTGGCTTTTTTGCGTCCAGTGAGGCGCAAGCAGATGCGTGCCCGTATTAGGGCATGGTCGGAGTCCAAGCAGGTACTCCAGAATGAGCGACAATCTTCTACCGACCCTCTCCAACGATGACTGATGGCAATATGGTCTATTTGAGTCCATCGTTGGTTTGGTGTAGGGGGTCGCCATGTTAGACGATGTCTCTCCTTATGCTTAAAATTTGTGTTTGCTAAAAATAAACGATTGTCTGAGCACAGTTGCAGCAGACGATCACCATTATCTGTTCGCTGTGCCGGAATACTAAAATATCCACCTAAATGCCTTTCTGTTTGGTTTAAACTACCTATCTGAGCATTAAAGTCACCCCTACGAGTACTATGTCTGAGCGTTTAGCTTTCTGAAGAAGTTCGGAAGCTTTCTGTAAAATTCATCTTTCACTTCATCTGAGCTGCAGTCAGTGGGAGCGTAGGCAGAAACGACGAAAAGGCAACGACGTGTGTCTCTATGCTTCCGACTTCTGTGTTTCGGAGACAGCATACATCAATGGAAAGAGACTCTAGGGTTTTAGCCAAGGAAGCCTGCTGACCGATTTGACATAGGGTGCGTACGTTGAAGGCTCCAATGTGTAGTTTGGAGCGAGGTTTCAGTAGAGCTGAGACAGTGTTTTGAGCACTAGAATCGTTGGCTATGGTGACACTTGAGTGGGAAGCCGAAAGAGAAAGTTTAGAGGTAAAAGTCGATGTAGGAGGAATAATAGGAATTGAAGAGGAAGGTTGATTATGAATACATTGGTCTTGGGTGCTGTTAGAGGTATGAGGGCGGTTATCACTTCCCGGTTGCCCACACCGTTGAAGGGTATTTCTTGAGGAACCTGAAAAAGAAATCGGATTAATGTTGGCCTTGACGACCTGGGAGCGTGACCGTAGAGCCCAAGGGACAACTGCTTGAGGCCGGTCGCGCATGGCCTTTCCGTGGGAGGTTTTTGACGTGTTAGCTCCGTTCTTCAAAGGGCCTTAACGCCGGAGACGGTAATCCGTGAGGTAAGGTGAGGTGTGACATTTTTAGGGTCGAACTTTTCTAACCCATTCCTTCCTTGTGAGAAGGCAGCATCGCTGCAGATGCTGGTTGTCCGAGGGAAACACCTTACTGCTGTCACACCCCTCTACAATCAGCAGTACGACTTCGCCCTCAGACCTTGAGTTGCTGCTTTTAGTCTCACCGTTCTCCAATCGACGTGCCTGGCATGACAGAACCTACAGGAACATATGTTCCAGCCGACATAGCTCGATTGGGTCATCACGATAGGCAAGCCCGACCACCGCGTCAAGGTAGCGGCCGACATAAATCGCAATTATAGAAATCTGCGCCTACTGATCTGGGACTCAGTCGAACTGACACATAACTCCTGAATGCTCATCAATGTATATGTGTATCATTTTATCAGTAATATTTACAGGTTGTGTTTCTATATTTGCATACATATTTATCGAATAGTTAAAAGCTGTTTGTCATTGTATTATGGCACCTGGGAACCTGAACACTCATTTTTATGAATATTTTAATCTTACTGTTTTCTGTATATATATAGTGATTACCTTGATAAGCAATTTTGGCATTGATAGCGTATGAAAATCTAGTTTTTTTATAATTAATTTTGTGGCGTTATTTAATGTGATTAATTTTTTCGTTTTTTTTCCAAATCATATTACTTTTGAAAAAACTATAATTTTTTGTCAAGTGTTGTAAAGTGAATATTGACAGGTGAATAAGTAAAAGCGAATGAGGAAATTATTAAATACACATACAATTGTTACAACTCACCAACTACCGATAAGTATACTCGGTTATGAGCCACAATTTGTGTATAAGAGCTGGTAATACTACTTGACTATCAAAACCTGTTGAGGAGTTCCAAAGTATTCCTCAGAAATCTCTCAAGGGCCTAGGAAACGCTTGTAAACACTGTCCATTCAGCGTTGAATAAATGCATCACAAAAAAATCGAGAAAGTGAATAGTCCCGTTTCTGATTGGATATTTACCTATACTGCTACCATATTTTATATGTTTATAAAAATTTCTAGAAGCTCAATGTTGTGTTACTCCATAATTACCCTCATTTTTCTGTACATAAACTAACTTTGAAGTAAGGCATTCTTTTTTACACTCCGTGCGTTTTTTCTCATGATCAAGTTGTCGTGTAGGTTTAGCCTGGGGTTATTAATGACTATAAATAAAGGTGTCTAAGACATAAAAATTGTTATTGAAAAGGAATAACATTATGTCGTAGAATGGGTGTGTATGAAATTTGTTGTATTTATCTTTTCAGTCTGATGTTTTTTGCCTAATACACTTCATTCGACTTGATTATATGTTAAAGAATGAACTGGAAACTAAGTTTATTTGTAAAGAAATCTTAGTAAAAAGTTTAAAAAGGTGTAGAAACACTAGTACCTATTATATAAATGATGTGTACACTATCTAGAATTTTCTGGCATCACTTGCCTTTGATGATTAATGTAATCAGACAGAATATTCGATTCCTTATCACCAGATTGAACCTACAAGCTGAATATTTTGAATATTATTCTTTTAAGATCTTTCCTCTTTGAGTAGGATTGTTGGATGTTTACTTCAAACCTAGAGAAATTTTGGGAATAAATGCTATTATGTCACTGCAACCAACTGAAATGATTAATTTTTTTGGTGCTTTGTTTTCAACTTTCATCCAGTGAATCAGTCATAAACATTGTAGAGCTTAACACATTTGTAAAATGATTCACGTTGTTATAATGAAATGGAACTATCAAAATAGTTGCCGGAGTAATAGTTGTAGTAGCAGTATCAGTGACAATAGAAAAGATTGAGCATAATCAGTATGATTTGAGAAGAAAGTGTGAAATCGTCCTCGTAAAATGTAACCAGTGGGGTTCAACCTTGTTGGGTGTGAGGAAGTTACCAACAAATTTATGAAAGATGGTCACTCAGTTTGATAGATTGATCAAAGATGAACTTGTGCACCATCGAACCCCGGACCAGTGGTCTAGTGGTTAGCTATGCACACGCCACACCGAAGGTCCCGGTTTCCAATTCATGTTTGTGAAAACACACTCCTAAGGAGTCCCATACTAGGATGAAACGACCACCTAGTATTTCGAAGTTTTCAGTAGTTCATGATATCAGTCAGCCTTCAGATACCAACTTTGTTGACTGATTCCCACGACTTGAATTTGTTTTTCCCCAGATTATTCATTAATATAAATTTGATTGTACTTTGTTCAGAAATTACTCATCTATCATTTGCATTGTTGATTATCATTACTACTATAATTACCATCATAAATTAATATGATTCTTTCTTTCTCAAGAGATACTGTAAGAGCTGCTCTACGTTACTCTGAAGAAAGTTACGAACGTAAACGTAAACGTCCATTTATTATACCATGTTGTTGTGGTTGGATGTATAAAAAATGTTATGAAAATAATTGTTGTCGTAGTTGTTGTTGGAATACTAATAATCAAATAAATTCTTCACAAAATTATATTTCCAATAATAATGATAATCATATAGATAATATTGATGATACTGTGCCAAGATCTGAAGCTCTCAACAATGAATTATCTTCATCATCTTCCTCTTCTCCTTCTTCACCTAAAATAAATTATAATAAATGTAAATTATGCCTTTGTTGTTCATGTCCACCACCTACTGATGCAATCAATTATTATACAAATAAAAAAATGTATTTACAAAAAGAAATTGAAAAACAATATGAAACAACAATTAAAAAACCAATTGGTATTGCATTTATAACATTCTCAACCAAATATGCTGCAGCTTAGTAAGTTGATTTATAAATAAATGAATTATTAATTATTATTACTTATCAGAAGAGGTTTTGTTGAAATTTTAGTAATTTCAATAGTTGAAATCATGAGTCAATTGAAGCTAGACTATCATGAAAAACATGGAAGCACTGGACGGCCGTTTCGTATCAGTGTGAGACTCTTCATCAATGAGCATCCACGATCCCGCCCCACTGCGAGGTTAGAACCCAGGATCTATCAGCCTCGCACACGAGCGTTTAACCATTAGATCACTGATAGGTCCTGGGTTCAAATCTCGTAGGGGGGGCGGTATCGTAGAAGCGCACTGCTGAGGAGTCCCACACTAGGACGAAACGACCGTCCAGTGCTTCCAGGTTTTCCATGGTGATCTATCTTTAATTGACTCATGATTTCAACTATTGAGATTATTAATTAATTAATTTTTCATTGAAATATTGTCTTATTGTATTTATTCAATCTATTCCATCTATTACATTTTGTAAATACTGTTTTTTTTCTAATACTTTAGTGTATGTAAGGAATATCGTAACATTTGTCGACGTTTAATTATATCTATAATGTCTAGTACCAGTACTAGTTCAGTGTTGAAAAGTCATATGTGGTCTGTCGATTTTGCACCTGTTCCAAGTAATATTATTTGGTAAGTTCTGTGTTGTTTTAGTAAAGTATTCGCTTGTGTAATTTTTAACTTCGGATTTTAATTAATTCTACTTATAGTAGATTTTAATTTTTTCCAACGTGTCGTTTTAGCATGTAGTGTGGAATAAAGTGACAGTTTAAGTAAAAAAAAAAGTAGACAAGAATATACTATTAGTCCGTGAGATCATTAACTTTTAGTCTGAGTCTTGTCTTTATATCTTGAGTTTCAATGCATGTTCATACATACCTTCTTTTCGAACCAAGTCTCTATTTCATCTGTTCAATTTTTATCCATTCGATTATTACTTTCAGTTTCTTTGTCACTTATATTGTTAACTTAATTTCTTTGCGTTGATGTGGTTTGTCAACTTAGGCTGGGTGTACATGTGTATAAGGCTCTAGTTGGATGATGATGAATTGTAATAGTCAAATTCTCAGTGATCTTTATGGGAAAATTATCTAAGATTAAATGACAATTACTTTCCACATTTCATTGTTTTCTAATGCTCCGGTTGTTAGATTAGTTGGAGAATTTCTATGACAGTATGTTTACTTGTAGAATGACTAAGTATCTAATATTTTACCATAACTTGCCACTGAACACTTACCAATATAATGTTTTTCTAGACTTTACTACATTTCAAATACTATCGATCAAATTATACAATCATCAGTAGATTAAGTAATTCGAGATCGCTGTGTGTTTTATTTTGATGTTAATTATTCCAAAGTAATTGACATTCAAACACAACTCATTGTCAAGAAGTAAGTTTCAAGGTTTTAGTGCTCTCCATTGAGGTGAAAAAATCGATTGACCTAGTAAAATAGTTTATATTCATTGAGTTATCCTGCTTTCAACTGACCTACTGAGACCCGAGGTGTTTGCATTGATGAGTTACTAAACAATAATGACAGTTGCATGTTGATATCGTCCTGTTGTATTTGTCAATTGATGGCTTAGTATTTTCTTACATTTTCAAAACTTTATCTAGTGATATTTTTCTTAGGCGTTTACTAATTTGAACTATTTGTCAGATTGAATGACGATTATTTTTCGCTAAACGGCGTTCTGATAATGATATTCATAAGTATTCTAACTAATGTCTCGAAATTACCGTTCAAATGAATCCTTTTATATTTCAGTTACTTAACCACACACTGAATGTGTGAAAACTAAATTATTTCTACCAATCTTAGTTTCTTTTTTTAAAGGATTTCGTAGTCGCAAACTCATTTGTATACTTCGATAATATCATTCGTTTTCTGTCTTTTTACTATTAGTTCCAAAATCAAATTTTTATGTTTTCGCTGAGGATTGAGTGGTCGGTTAAAAAGTTAGTATCTTAAGTGTTGTTCTATGTGCTTCCAACATTTTTTTATGAACACAATTGATATGAATCAACTTAGATGAAGTAACAGTCGACAATCTACAACTAACAGTTGAAAATTAAATGATATCTAACGAATAAAATACCATGCTTCATATATATTGTAATTAATATAGCATGTTCTCAATGTTTAAAGGTCTCTTGTAATTTCGATTCGTTTACACGTCTAAGATTCTCCAATCATTTATTGCTAACAATACATTTCACACTTTTCATTATCAAAATGAATTTTATTTTCTTAGTTTAAATCATGAACTGGTCTTAGCTAGAACACTATTGTAAACCTGCAAGCACTGGACGGTCGTTTTGTCTTAATTTGGGATTCAATAATGCACACTCACAACCCTGCATCTGGGAATTGTGGGTGAACATTTGACTTCCAGCACATTAAGTCGAAGTCTCTGGATTCAATTCCCGAATGCGGAGTTATGAACGCTCACTGTTATAAAGTTCCGTACTATCAAGAAACGTCTATTTAGTGCTTCCAGATATTTGATAATGATCTAGCTAAGATCAATTTCTTGTTTAAACTATGAAAATTCTACAACCTCCATAACCTCTCCCACATACTAATACATGGTTTATTTGTATTTAATGAATTTGATTGTTCCATCAACAAAACTATAATCATAACTCAGCATACATGCAATTCCATTCATTGTTTTGAATATTATTTTCACATGCTCCTCTTCCTTGTTTGTTTTTTTGTTACGAAAATACGATTAATACAGGGATTTTGTAATTTAGCCTCTGGCATAATATATTTTGTCTCTAATACATCAAATCTTTTTCATCTTTATGTGATTACATAGGTTGATTTGATTAGGTTGTGCCTAACTAACTCATATTTTTATTAGAACTATATTTTTCATGCGTATAACTGTCCTCTTTTTTTTTCTTCAAATAATATGCTTTCATCATTAAAATTTATCGTTTGTGTTTAATGCTTTGTATGTATCAAATGTCTTGTTAATTAACTGTTTAGAATTACTATAGTTTCTTTTGAATAAAGTTGATTAGTGAAGCAAACAAAACGCATAGATCGAGACAATTAGACAACGTTTTTTTATATAACAGATCTGATACTTGGGCACTTAACTATGACTTCTAACCAATTTCTAGTTCTTTAGAAGTCTACTACAGTACAATATCAAATAGAAGGTGAAAAGTATGAGAAGAAGCCTCGCTTCTCAGGTTAGTTTAGGCACAAGTAACAAGGATGTTTAGGGAGTATATATATATATATATATATATATTGAGATTAGTAACTAAGTTTGCAGTGGTCCAATCAGGATATGACACACAATTCATGATTTTACTAGAACTTTCCCTCTCTTATCTGTTTATTGAACTCTGACTGGATAAGATATTTTTAACCTTTTGTATCCTTTGAAGGCTTTTCCGAGGAATATTTGTTGACTCTCAACTTGGTGTTGGTATTAATGTAGTTTTTCACTGCATTCTTGTGGTTCATTCATTCAGAACTTCATTTAATGCTGTACGCGCTATATACAAATTCAAACTGTCATTTACTAAGAAAAACCATTTTTCAACAGTTCATGTTTAGATTTTTGGGAAATGATTCTTTTCATAACTATGTGTGTCTCACAGATATGACCTCTGGCGTAAAAAGAACGAGCTTCTACAACCGAAAAAATTTTAGAAACATAAATTGAATTCTGTCTAATATACATAACACTTTATTCGAGAGGTTTCCAAGTTCATTTGAAATGTGGTCTTGCTGAGTTCATGATAAAGAGTTATGCACCATTGATACTTTCAATCAAATACTTTATATATTAGTCAAGGTTTTTTGAATATCCATTTCAGCGTCTCATTAAGTAATGCAGTTGAAAATTACTAATATGACTCTACTAAGTATTATAGAACAACTCAAAATGTAGTGAGGAAGGGACGTCATGAACTATTGTGTCACAAATTGAAAGACGCTCCAACTTAGTCTTCTTAATGATCGAGAAAATTTAACACCTTAAAACCAACTTCGCTTACAGTTTTTAGTAGTTTTTTCTTGGAATGATCAACAAATATTACTAAATCAGTTTCCTCAGTAAGATGTCACTAATAATTTTTCAGTTCTTAAAAAAATATTATTGCCTATATCACGGACAAGCATTAGCTAGGTAACCATTGTGACATTTTTCAGAGTTCTAGTGAGAAGCGGTGATTAGCGGACTTCAACCTCATTGTGTTTGACAGTCATCTACCAATCATACTGAAGTATGGTTTTACAATATCACAAACTAATTAAAATTAGAAACACCAGCCATCGCATTTCAACCTAGTAGCTTGAAGGGTAAACACCCGCAGAGACACCTTAATCGACTTAGGTTCCATTCCAGACGAAGTTGTCAATGCACACTGCAAGAGTCCGTTGATAAGATAAAACATCTGCTTGGTTTTTAATGTTAATCTAGCCAAAGTTAGTCCATGAAATACAGAATGAAATCCAACAATAATAGCGAACCCATATACTAACGTTATTGTAGTTGCTTTTTTTGAATTTTAGGGCGAATCTAGCAGCTACGAGAACTGTATGGTGGTGTCGAGCAATTTTTATTAACTTGTGTGTTTTCTTCGTGGTGTTTTTTCTTACTACTCCTACATATGTATTGAATTTAGTTAATACATTGCATTTAACTGAACGTCTACAAATTAATGTGAGTTTCCTTTCTTTTATACTATCATTATTAAGACGCTTTTTGCTACTTTCTTAAAAGTCACTACACGAAAAAAATTAAATTATTACTTAAGAGTTTCTGGAATTCAATGCCGATATAGAGTTTATTTTATACTTTGGTATATATCTATTATTTAAGTAATGATATCATTCATGAATCTCGTAAATTAACACATCATAGTGACTGATGATCTTGTAGTAAAGGAGGATTTGATGGGGAAAACCAATTTGTAGTTTAATGCAAAATTGCAGAGTGTCTTCACAAAATATGAAAACCATACATTAAATACTTTATTTGCACATCTTCCATCAGTTGTGTATTAAAACTTCATCATTCCTGTTGTTATTACAATTTTTCTCTGTTTACGTCCCTGTTGTCTACAAGTCGACCTTCTCAATCTCCTGCTGCCATCTATTCCATTTCTGATTGGTGTTACATACTACTTATAGCTGTCAACATATGTAGCATACACTACAATATGACTCTTGTTTGTTCACTTAATCCCGCCCTTGTCTTGGTTAACTGTTTTAAATGTTGATTAATTGGTTAGAAGTGATGACAGTGTGATTTTTTCGTATTCTCTTCTGTAATTTTTTTATAGAATAAGGATTTAGTACTCTGGTTCTTAAAAATCCCCCCCCTAGTATATCTACGTTTTATTTTACCCATACACTGTTGTCGTTGTAGCTAAATAGTGAGAAGTTCATAGGTTTTTCATTAATTTGCATATGATAAGATTACTGATTTTGTGAATTGCTATATCATACGTTGTTCTAATCAATTAATCAGGATTAAAAATACTATTAATTTGTTTAAGCTGCGTGATCCAACTATAAATTCTACTTTAATCCAGTAATCAAGTTTAACTATCATGATGATCTAATCTAGCTATGTTGACTGAAACCATTATTATTGAATACTTACTATATTTTCCAAGTAGATCAATAAAAACGAAAATACCAAGAGTAGCACGTTTCAAGTTCGAATTCTAAGTATTATCAGAATATGGGGAGAGAAAAATATGTTCTCAGTTAGCCAGCATATCTAGATTGACAGCTCCCTTCAGATTGATTTGAGGAGTAGTCAAGCTGCTCTTTAAAACACTATACATCCTTTACTGGGTTCAAAAACTGTGGGATTGATGCTAAAATTATAATAGATTAACGATCCTATACAGTCGGCTCGAATCAGTTTTACCGTCATGCTCATGTTGATGAGTGCTGTCTAGGTGAATCTTCTTTTCACGATCCTTCACAAAAATTATCATACACTGGAACTCCAGTCAATTTTTTCCATTGGATATGTATAATTTCCAAACCTGTTTAATTATATTTAAATGTCTGACTAAAATTGACTACAATTAATTGATCGAATGAAGATAGTAAGATACATTTGGAAGTTTTTGCTGGCAAAATGATTGATTTCAATGGAAACCACGCAAAGGTGGTATCGGCAAAATGAAATGAAATGATATTACGTAATAAAAGACATAACCAACTGATTAATTTAAAAGCGGCAAATATTATGAAGAAAACTAAGTTGTTCATCATTGCGTCAGATTGGTATCATTCAAAGTTTACATCACGAACTAACTTCAGTTGAATACCTAGTGAGTATCAGGAAGCATTGGACAGTTGTTTTTTTTTGTCTTCATCAATGTGCATCCACAAACCCACTGAGGATCTTCATGTGGAGTCGTTCACGTGCATTGTTGAAGAATCTCTTACTAGAAAAAAGTAGCTGTTCAGTATTTTCTAGTTTTTAATAGTTGTCCTACTAACGTCAGTCCGTAATGTAAAAATATGTATTAACATTTTTGTTTTCTATATTTCTCATCCAATAGAATCCACTATTGATTCAATTTTTCCCATCTATTATTCTTTGGTCCGTGTCTGCTTTATTACCTTACATTGTATTCAATTCAGATCGACTTGTTGGTCATTGGACTAAATCTGTTCTACATTTAACTGTAATGATTAAAACATACACTTTACTAATTCTAATGATTTTAGTACTTCCATCACTTGGCCTTACATCGTAAGTCTTTTCTTTTGAAGTGATTTTATTCAATTTTGTATGATATTAGAAGCTTATAGATATATTCTATTTTGGGTGGAATAGCTTCCACAATATTATAAGTATATAAAGGCCAACGGAATGGAAATATATCTGCATTCAAACTATTGTTTTTAAATATGAACTCAAGTTTTATTTTTGCTAAATTAAAAGTGTTTATCTCTTCGTTTTGTTAGCCATTGTTATTTGTTTCATTTAGATTATTAGTTATTCAGCTACGAGCAACATAGAATCATTTCGCATTTGTGCATCGGTTTGAGTTTACCACAAAACATTAGCACAGCGAAGTAAAATTGTCAAAGTGAGTACCAGAGTGATATGAACAGTAAGAGTATCAGTGGTGGTGGATAGAATTAGGCCCGAATAACTCATTTGTAATGCCTAAGACCGTGAAGCTAGATAACATGGGATATCATCCGATAAAGAGCACCAGTTCCCTCAAAATTACAGGCATGCTTTGCTAACGCCTGTCAAATAGAGTAAAACCTATGTCCAAGGCGTCCTATCAACTACTTCCAATCATCTAACATCGCAATATAGAACACCCAATGTCAAGTCACTTAGACTAGTGGCCTCATTACAACTTGTTTGATAGAATTGGATCACCATTAAAGGACTAGACAAATATGATACCAATCACCATTCATTGTTAGATCAATAGTAAGGACTTATAAATTAACCTAACTTTATTCCTTTTGACATGTTTGTAAGTATCATTATAAGATTTGACTTGATAATTTCAAATAAATTGGGTATTAGGTGGACTATTTATTATATCAAAATAGTGGTGTATTTGTAATATGCAAATGAGTTGGAAATTGGGTTCCTAACGTTTTACAATTTATTTTCTGTTGCTTTGTCTTTGTATCATTCATGTTAGTTTATTAAGTAACAAATATTGTCTGGTACACAACTTATTTCTGTCTTGAATATTAATTGAAGTTATTCATTTTCTCTGATGTTAGTCATTAAATGTGTATGTGATCTGAAATACTCCCCGGACACCTACACAGAAGCACGTGGTTTTCATGAGTCCACTTAGGTCTAATCCACAAGAGAATGAAGCAACGTTAATAACTGCCGTATCATCGTAGCGGGTATAGGTTCATACACTATTAAAGTCCGTGTGAAACTTCGGTTTAAAATCAGGGTTTTCAATTCCCCTAATCTGAATCTTTCGTATCTATCAACTCGGCTTAAGTGTTGACATTCGCTTTTCGCCTTCTTTTTTTTCTTTAAACAGCCATTCCACCACGTAAAATCAGTGAATAAAACGTCCTGACAGAGTCTGTAAAGTCATAACCATATCCTATCATATGCTACCCTGTCTTACCTTAACATTCACAATGTAATCTCTGTATTCGTGTGGTCCATTTTACATCTACTGACGTACTGTATTTCTGTATATAAATAAATGGGTGTATAAATAAACAACCTGTTCAAAATTTATGTATGTATTATGAACTATTTTCTTAACGTTGCCAGTAATATTTTTTTTCTTGTGATTTTTCAATCTATCTGTAATGATAATACATATGTATATATTTCTAGAATACCTGCTCTACTTCAGTGGCTTTTCCCGGAAATGCATATCATACCACTTGTCCCAGCAAATAATGGTTCAAAAATTATTAATATTTCAACCATCAATAATACTACTAGTAATAATAATAATAATGCTACTACTAATAATTCAAGTACACCATCTTCATCGAGTCCATTTATTCCAATAGGACCACAGTCATTTCAATGGGAATGTGTTTTTATGCCAGATAATGGTGCTTTCTTTGTCAATTATGTAATCACTGCAGCATTTATTGGAACATCATTAGAACTTGTTCGATTTTCTGAATTATTTAATTATGCTTGCCGTCTTATGTGTGTTAAATCACAAGCTGAAAAAGCTGGTGTACGAAAGGTAAATTTTCTATTAGGTTTTCACTTATTCTTCTGTTTACAACTTCCTTAATTATGTTATTTTAATGAAAACGATTACTTAATTATTCACATGTAATTTAATAGTCTTTTTCTAAATGTGTCCTGTCATTTGCTTTACATCACGGATTGATCTTAGACAACTGCTGGAAAGTAGGGAGCGCTAGTGATCTGTCTCGTTCTAATTTAGGAGTGTTCTACGGTGCGTATCTATATCGAGGGCTTAACCTTCAGACAACTGAGTTGGCATCCGATACTTTATATTCCCATCTTCAATCATTTTGTGATATTACGCAACCATCTTCCAATGCTATTAGTGGGTAACTATTTTATAACCATTTCTTTTATTATCTTGGATCAATAATTATCGAAGACTCTTTCTTTATTAATAGGCTAGTCAATTTGAATTTGAGTTTGGACTGTTTTATGCATGGAGTTTATGCGTCTTCGCTGTGATCTGTGCATATAGTATTGTATGTCCGTTGATTACACCATTCGGTAAGTAGCTAACATTACTATAATTTATACATTGCATTATAAATGACATCGTCATTGTATTATTTGGTACAGTTTTGAAATTAAGTTTGGTCATTAGCAACGTTAGTAGTTTTTTTTGTAATAATATATTTTGTAATTTTCTTAGCAAAATTACTGTTTACACACATTATTTGTGCAGCTGAACGATCTTTAGCCAGTATTTATTAAAGTTATGGTAAAATCTTTGGATGTGTTTTTGCAGGTTTTCTCACTTTCATGGCTTAGTACGCTTTGCTGGATTTATATGTATGTAAAAAACCGTAACACTTTCCACTAATTTGGCGTAATTTTGTTTACATGTGAGTATAAAATATTGGTTGTACAAATCTGGGATGCTAACATTTTCAATGAACACTTTCCATGTCTCCCCGAAATTACTAACGTCTAGTAGTGTGTTTAGGGTCAGAATATATATGAAGAATTAACACCATTTTCAATCATGAAACACCAAATTCCGTGGTTTAATCACGTTACTTGCATTTTGTCTTGATGTCTCCTCTCCTGTGCATTACTTAGTGACGCTGCATACTGAACAAATTAGTGGAAGAGGTCGTAGACGTTGTTACATGACACTCTAGAATGAACGATTATTTTGTTGAATAGAGATCGACTAGCACTTCGGTGTAATTTTTTCTAATGTTTCTATTCTTTATTTAATTTGCTTTCTTATATTCATTTTTAGGTCTTATCTATCTAATATTTAAGTATTTCGTAGAACGTTATAATCTCTATTATGCCTATTTGCCTAGCCGTATTGATTCACACATTCATTGGCTTGCAATCAGTTGTATGTTAGCTTCTGTGTTTTTATTACAATTAAATATATTCATGTTTATTGTTTTACGTGCCAATACTGTTAGTCATGCTTTAGTAATTTGTTCATTATTGGGTTTGATATTCTCTGCAATATTAATAATTTTCACGATTGTTACTGGATGGATAATGGCTGGTAGTAGTTCAGCACGTAAACTTCTATTTAGAAATGCACATTTAGTCCCTACCACTGAAGATGTATTCGTTGATCAGCATAGTCAGTATAATAGTTCAGTCAGTGTTCAACGTAGAGGATCAAATTTGAACGAAATAACCAATGCAGTAAGTGTATTTTTTTAATTAATAGATTTATTATGTGCTTTTTAATTTTATTTCAGTTTCAAAATTTGATTGATAAATTTCTTTGAAATCACGATCCTATCTAAGTTGAGAGTTCATGGGAAATCTCACAGCACTTGACGACCGTTTACCCTGGTTTGGGACTACTCAAAAGTATGCATACATGACACTGAGAACGGCAGTTCAACCCCAGGGCCTTAAATCTCGCGTGCTGACCCCTAACTTCCAAACCACTGACTCGAGATCCGGTTGTGTGTAAATCTAACTTCAATCAGTCCATGATATTGCACGGTCGTTTTCCAATTTCTTTAGTGGGTAACTTTTTTACACTCGACATGGTTGAACTCCTCTGGACATGGCTTTTCTTTTGAACTTCGGAGATTTCTTTCCCAAACTAGTCACCATCATAGGCCACGGAAGATGTTCACGCAATAGCGTAGATTGATTGATGTTAAAGTTTTACATTATTGGGTCCTGGCTCAGTGTTTGGAGGTTAAATGTTAACTCCCAATACGGATGGTTCTGAGTTAAATTCCCACTTTCAATGTCCTGCATGTATAAGTTTGAGGAGTCCCATACTAGGTGGAAACGGTCTTCTGGTGCTTCCAGATTTTCAAGCACTTTATAATATTGTTTTTTAAGTCATAATTATCTAAATTCAACTAATGAGTACTGTAAAGTGGATCTATTTACAAAATAGTGGGGTTTTTTTCGTGAAATCTATTCCTCACATTGTAGGCTTTGTCGTCTTATTAGCCTGGGGCTAAGTCAACAGTGTTAGCAAAGGAGCGACAGTTTTAAAGAGTAATCACATGCGTTCAGTTTTTACAAACTTCTGTGCATTCCCTATTGTGTTGATATTTTAAATCCTATATAGTAAACAAAAAGTTATAACATTATATCATTAAATATTAATGACCTCAGTGGTGAATCGAGCCTATACCATACAGTTCTTGTTATTTACTTCTAGTTCAGTAATGGTGGTAAGGATAGAAACACAGCTGACGGTTGGACAAAAGATACATAAATAATCATACTAGCTACAGTTTCATGGGTTATCCTATGGGAAAGGACTAGAATCACCTCACTATGGTAATGAGGTGCTTTGAAGAAGACAGGGAGAGAGAAGGCTTTGTTGTCGTCTAACGTATTATTTTTGTTTGTTTGTTTTCACTTGATTTTAATAGTTTTATAAAATCATAGCAAATTGTCTAGTAATTTTCTCGTAACTTGTTTATACATTTATGTTTGTACATATATTTATATGTACAAATAGAGATACTTTGCTAGGTAACGATTATTATTATTGTTATTAGCTTTACTCAATACTATATTTTTGGTACAATATGGAATTCTCAGCAAGAAGTATTTCAACAAGTTTCCGTTTCTTACTTGGTCGATCATGACAATAAATATTGAGTAGTCACCAGTTAGAAGTTAGCAGTTCAGTCAATCGACATTTAAATAATGTACATTCTTTTCCCTGCATATTGCCAGCAACCAGGATATCTCTGATTAGGCCTTTTGTAACTTGTACAGAGAAATGTAGTATACTTTCACAAATGCACCTGAATAGCCTATGCGATTATTAGTCATAACGATGTACTAAAACATACCAACTTAGATAACTTGTTGAAATATTTAGATGTCAGGAACAGCTAGCCCAGATGTTCAGGCAGGCTGCCAAAGCATAGCAACGATACTCATCGTATCGATCAGTTGACATCACAGGTTATCTTACGTTTTTACCAATCTCTTCATTTAACTAATGATATTGTGTCATTATTTTTTGTCTGATAGGATTATACTAATTACCTTATTTTATTGCAAATGTTACCGAATTTTACTTTGAGAAAGTGTATTTCTACTGCATAATTTCATTCCATAACTAATAGTAAGAAGCCTCTGTCTATAATCCACGATGAGTTTGGCATATATATGATTAGGCTTTGAGTAGTAAACAAAGATAAAAAATCAGTTGATGAATCTGTAAATTTTCATCGACTGAGGGGTTTTTTGACATTGATGTTCGTAAAAAAAAATAGATTTCTTGGGTGGGTGGTATTGGGTCTCGTGTGATTAAACCGTAATGACAGCAACGAAGTTGTATTATCTATCTGTCTTTAGTTCAATAATCAATTAATTCAACCATGTTACCAGTAGGATCGGTAACCATCCAAGTACCAACTGACATATTGATCAATCAATAATAACTAAGACCTGAATACTTATCGGTCTTTGATTTCCTTCCAAACCAGTGCCCAATCAAATGATGAAGCTCAAAAGCAGATCAGTTTTCTGTTGTACTTAGTTCAGTCGTGATTCAAAACTTATACATTAATATATCTGAAATCCCTGACCACACAACGAGACAATTTTGGTGTTACAACGTGTTCACAACTCGATCATGAGTGATATAATGCCAGAATTGTTGGGGAATAATTAAGGAATGATAAATGTCGAATAATAAGACTTGACAACGATTTATGGGTCAAACGAAAGCTTAGAAATTGCAGAATATAAAAATACAACATTGTAAGCATCTACGAACAATATAATAATATCTTAAATAATAATCCTTCGTATGATAGTTTCCAAAGTTATGTCTCCACATTATTCGTCCCACTACATCAGTTATATATTGACAGGAGATGTTAACTAGCGTAGAAGTTAGTTGGTGGGGAGCTTGTTTGTGACCAAATTATGAAATCATTCACTGTTGGTCTAAACTTTTCTGATAGATGCAGACTACCTAGTTGAGGTCCACGCTATATAATCGGTCACAGTAGCACCGATGGTTTCATTTCTAATCTCAAACAAGATCCTGTGTTCGAGCATTCCTACATACATACACTTTCATTCTGTTTTTTCTTTAGCTATCTTCTCAATGTTTAGTCTTTCCTATCGTAGTTCCTACTACATTATTTAAACTGTTAATATACATCTTTCTGATTGTATTTCGTCGTGCTAATACATACTTATACCAGGCTCTCCATTGATTGTGATAAACTAGTTCAAAGTGTTTCAAAGAAATAATCGAAGTATAATATTATTGATATTAAGGTTAGAAGTGTTTGTGAAAATTCAAAACCCAATGAAAATGCATATAAATACTATTCGGTCGTTTATTGTGTTGTAATTCACTAACATTTTAACACAATAGTTAACAAATACAAGTTCAGATCTATTATTTTATCCACTTTGTTTATTTTCATTTATTTTGTCAGCTTGGTGATCGAAAATCATTGGTCGATGCTACTTTTCCTATACATAGAAATAACAGTGATCCGAATCAATTTATTCAACCATTAACAATAGATAAATCAGAACCTAAGAATTTGATCCGTTCTGTTCCTGCTTCACCATTAATACCACCTCCATCACCTCCTCATACTCCTCCTACATGTTCTTTACAAGTATTTAATAGAAATGATTTAATTAGACATTCATACCCGGTAAGAATTGATACTAAAGAACAATTTGTTGCACCAGTTTTATTACATTTACAAAAAAGACATAGTATAGCTAATTATATGAGTACACAATCTATGATTAGTTCACTATCAGAGAATAATTCTAATCATCCTTCTCAATCAGATGATCATAATAATTAAATGAAATACATTCAGTATTCTTTCTACTATTCCTTTTATAACAATGAGAATGATCAGAAAACAAATCTGTTTCACAATTATCACTAGAGGTATATATATCTTTGTTTATTTAACAAATCATCTTCTATAAAACTTTTGTATTCTTCTTTTCAATTTGTCTTTGTATCACTTTCTTCAGTAATTATTGATCATTCATTTTCATGTTCATGAAAATTATCACCATCATCATCATCATGATGATGATCATCGCCGTTTGCTTTTTGAATTTAGATTTCTAGATTTTTCTATTTACTTTTTCATTTGTTATTATTCATGTAAATTTTTTTTTGTTTTTCTTTCGTAATTATAGTTTATTCATATGATTTTCTTTCATTGATGCTTATCTATAATTGAATAAAATGATTTATTTTATAATTGATTATAATATAACAGAATAATGTTTCTTTCTGTGAGTTGAATACTTTTTAGTACTTACTTACTCACATACTTACTTACTTACTTACTTACTTACTTACTTACTTACTTACTTACTTACTTACTTACTTACTTACTTACTTACTTACTTACTTACTTACTTACTTACTTACTTACTTACTTACTTACTTACTTACTTACTTACTTACTTACTTACTTACTTACTTACTTACTTACTTACTTACTTACTTACTTACTTACTTACTTACTTACTTACTTACTTACTTACTTACTTACTTACTTACTTACTTACTTACTTACTTACTTACTTACTTACTTACTTACTTACTTACTTACTTACTTACTTACTTACTTACTTACTTACTTACTTACTTACTTACTTACTTACTTACTTACTTACTTACTTACTTACTTACTTACTTACTTACTTACTTACTTACTTACTTACTTACTTACTTACTTACTTACTTACTTACTTACTTACTTACTTACTTACTTACTTACTTACTTACTTACTTACTTACTTTACTTACTTACTTCAAGCATACTTATGAACTATCTTCTGTATCACCGTTGTATATATATTGATTGTGACAATAATGATGATGATAGTCAAATGAATGTACTTATCATAATTAGGGGGAAAAATAAAGGACATTCTGAAATTATATCTGCATTTTGTTTTCTCTGCTTTTGTCTCACTTTTGCACTCTTTATTTGTTTATCTATTATCCTGTTCACAATTCGAATCTAGTTTGCTTGTTGCTATTTTGTATACGTAGGCGTAATGATATCATTTATTGTTTATTTAACTAGGATAATCATAATATTTCAATGAGAAACTGATGATTTCATTTCGTTTTCTCAAATTCGACATTGTTTTTTTTTCTAAAAAATAAAACATATGAAGAATAAGGTTGTTCATTTTAGTTTTCTTCTTGTCGTTTTCAGTTGTCTTTATATATATGTTTTGACTTTATGTCCGGCTTTTTATCACGTGGTTTATCCATTAATCAAAATACAACTTATGCAATCTTAGCATGTGCCAAAACAATGACGTTCGACCGGTATGAGCAGCCTAGCTTTCTTATTGGTCCTATGTCCACCTAGCCCGTCCACTTGAGTCCAAAACGTCAATACCAGCTTCCACTATGCGAATCGAATCGTTTATTTCAGACATACTGGGTTTATATATCAAACAAACAGACCGCAACGCACCATAAAATAGGAGATAACATTTGTACACAATAAAGCCAAAAAAATGACTGTGAACGTGGGAGGCAGTAGTCAATAAACTGAACATAACTTAAGAACAGTTAATCGTACAATAATAAATTGTAGGTCAAAATAAGGCTGATAATAAGAGGACTATAAATATACACAATCTAATTATTGAATAGTTATACCATAAGTATGTATAGATAATATTAGTCAATTAATATGTCTCAGAAGTTACTCGTGATTTAATCTTCGCTCGGATATAACAATATATATACCAACAAAATAGTAGGTGATATACAGTTCATATGGAGATGTCTTGTTCAGAATCGGGAAAACAATATTTAGGTTTTCTGTCCGAAATTCAATTATATATATGTAAAATTAGCGGTAGAAATACTTTCATAGAGTAGTGGTCTGAACGTTTAAAATGATATTTAAATATTATTCCTTGACCGTCGTAGAGTGAAAATGATAATGTTTAGAACAAGAATTGCTCAATTGTTTCTATATACACTGTATATGAAGATTAAATCAACTGGAATCCTAAGGTAAAGCTTGACTCAGTGACCAGTATATGATTGAACTAATCGGATTTAAGATAGCACCTTTTGAATTATTCATCCATATTGCCTACATAATATTTTCGTAACATCACTAAAACTCCTTAGTGATAAATACTCTGATCAAAGATAATTTGGAGCTTCAAAAATCTGTTTCGGTCTTTATAATGATTAAAGAAGGTAGATTATTTAAGTCCATAAGGTCGTATTTACGTGTTGTTCCGAAATACAGACAGAGTAACCTATAAATGGTCTAAATAAATTCGACAATTTTGTAGAAACTATTTACACATTTTAGTAATACTGTCTTCTGATCGACTAAGAACTGGCTGAAAATTCGTCGCAGTTTACTTTTAAGTCATCCATTTACTATCCTTTTACTATATAACTTATAAGTGGTAAGAATGCTTAGTTCCAAATAGGATACTATTCTGTTTTTCCCCTTTCCCGACTTAGATGCAAACGTTAATAGGAAAATTTATTAGCAAAGAATAATAAGTATTGTTTTAAACAAACAAGAATTATGTATGGATATATTTTTTGAATCTAAAAAGGTGCTACATATCGGCATATTAAAAAAGCTATGGATTCATAAGAAATGTGAGTCTTTGGACATGGGTAGATATGTAGGTTGACATTAAAAAAAGAATTGAGTTTACCTAAAGAAAACGATGAATAACTGGTCAGTAAGTGTATTCCGTCCGTTTAACCAAACAGGAAAGTACACATCAGTGTTGCTTTTGCTCATTATTTAAAAGTGATTGAATGTTCTTTTTTGGATATATGCTGGTTATAAAATGAATCTATGTGTTTATAATTATAAACTGGAATTCAGTGCTTAAACATCGTATTGTAGAACAGTGACTTAGCGATTAAAAAGTTTGAGTTTCAGCTAATATATTGCAAGCTTGATCCCAACTTCATATATTTTGGTTTGGGCGACTGGATGGTAGCACTCTTTTAACTTCGTAATGACAATTTATAAAAGTTAGCATTTTGTATATTATGCATAAATATCTATACGAGTATAGTAAACACTAGTCAGAATTCAATAGAAGCTTTTATTAATTATTTATTTTAGTAAGTTTTACAATCTTACTCCTGTTACCCCTCGTGGAGGAGCATAGACCACCCACCAGGATTCTCTGCCTGTGACTCTTCTTGATTTAATGCCGGTCCCCAGCCCGGAGAAAGGAGGAGGGTCGGGGACGGAGTCAGCAACCCTATCCTGTCCTCTAATTTTTTGATGAGATGAATTTCTGAAATGATAAAATGTCTTCAATAGGAAATGAAATTAGATCATCTTTCTCTAACGAGGTCTTACTTTTGATATTTAAATAAATAAGTCAACATATATTACTCTCAAATTTGGAAAACAGTAGTTTTGAAAATAACACGAAATTCGTCAGTTTAGATACATGTAATGTTTGTTATGTGACGGATACAAAATAATATACACACTTGAACTTCGACAACAATCACATGCATTTAAAATCAATGAAAAACCAGAGTAAATATAGTAATGGGTTCTTTTTAAGACAACATGTAATTCACATGGTCAGACAGAGAGTATTTTAAGTTGGTTTTTTTATAATTTTTAAATAAATAGAACTTTAAGGATGGTTAAGTTAATTAACAGAATGATCTGTAGACGTAAGCCTTCATTTGAATTGACAAGAAAGCTGTTCAGCAGAATTAGTCTTTTTTGATGAGACTATAATGTATGGATGACCTTTAAGCAATGCTGAACTAACATTTGGCATATCCAACTACTTAATAGGGTTAAGTAAGGATTATAAACAAGTGTGAGGAATTAGGATTAGAATTTACAGTTGATGGTTAGGGTTTGGAATTAGATTTAATGTTTTCATTATGAACTAACATTAGCTATAATGCCGAAATGGTATTTAGTCGAATGAGTGAATGAATTCCGCTCCAAAATCCGAAACTTGTTATCCTAAATGTGATTGGTTGGTTCGTAAATTATGGTCCCATCGTTTTTTTTCTTATAGAATAAACATGCCTTATTACTAAACAAATAATTGACTAGATGATGTAACAATTATAGATTGTTCACACTCCAACGAAATCAATGTCAACTATCCGAGTCTAATTCTTGTCTTGTCATATTAGACATTCGATATCATTAATCGCGCATATATAAATTATTAACAAATCTACTATGGTGTGTTCTACTTATATTGATATAAGTAGTATATGACGCGAGTCAGAAATGTAATGTCCGGCAGTAGAAGATGAGGGAAGATCAAGAAAGCAAGAGCGGGAATAGAATACAATTTGTATGAAAATGTAAGGACAAGGAAGTCCGAAGCATTTTGAAACAATTGGTGGATATTTTGCAAATTAACGATTTAATATATAGTTCTCAGATTTTATTGAGATGCTCTTGTCAAATACATTCGGTTGTCGCCACCCGTGTTCTGTTCACTGCACTATGAGTTAAGAGTTTGTCATTCTGTGAAGTAGAAAGATAACTACTAAGGGTTAAAGTAATCTGTTTCATTCTCGCCCAATTTATTTCATCTGTAATACAAAGCATTTGTCCATTTTATTACAGTTAGTTGATCTAGTCAAATCTTGAAAACACTTGTACTTCAGCTAAATAACTGATGTAATACAATCTAAATAGTTTCACTTTCTTAAAATAGATTCTTTCGATATAGCATATATTGTATCTTCTTCTTATTATTATTGTTATTATTTATTAACTGATTCTATTCTTGTTTGGCAAGAAATTCGAGTCTACTCCTATTCTCTAAAATG